AAATTAACTCCAAATGGATTAAAGACTTGAATGTAAGACCTGAAACTATGAAACTTCTAGAAGAAAACATAGGCAGTACGCTCTTCGACATCAGTCTTAGCAACATATTTTCAAGCACCATGTCTGACCGGGCAAGAGAAACAATAGAAAAAAGAAACAAATGGGACTACATCAAACTAAAAAGCTTCTGTACAGCAAAGGAAACCGCCAACAAAACGAAAAGACAACCTAACAATTGGCCGAAGATATTTGCAAACCATATATCTGATAAGGGGTTAATCTCCAAAATATATAAAGAACTCACGCACCTCAACAACATAAAAACTAACCACCCAATTAAAAATTGGGCCAAAGACCTGAACCGACATTTCTCCAAAGAAGGTATACAGATGGCCAACAGGCACATGAAAAGATGTTCAACATCATTAACTATCAGGGAAATGCAAATCAAAACTACAATGAGATATCACCTCACACCCGTCAGAATGGCTATAATTAACAAGACAGGAAACAAGTGTTGGAGAGGATATGGAGAGAAGGGAACTCTCATACACTGCTGGGGGGAGTGCAAACTGGTGCAGCCACTATGGAAAACAGTATGGAGTTTCCTCAAAAAATTAAGGATAGAACTACCATATGATCCAGCTATTCCACTGCTGGGTAGTTATCCAAAGAACATGAAATCACTAATTCAAAAAGATATATGCACCCCTATGTATCGCATCATTCACAACAGCCAAGATATGGAAACAACCCAAGTGCCCATTAATGGATGAATGGATAAAGAAGATGTGGTATATATATACAATGGAATACTACTCAGCCATAAAAAAACCAAAATCATGACCTTTGCGACAACTTGGATGCACCTTGTGGGTATTATGCTAAGTGAAATAAGTTAGACCGAGAAAGACAAATACTGTATGATTTCACCCATACGTGGAAGATAAACACACAAATAAGGAGAATAGATTAGCAGTTACCAGAGAAGTGGGTGGGAGGAGGGTGAAGGGATAAAGGGGCACATATGTATAGCTATGGATAAAAACTACACTATTGGTGGTGAACGTGATGCAGTCTATATAGAAATTGAAATATAATAATGTACACCTGAAATTTATACGTTATAAGCCAATAAGACCTCAGTAAAAGAATTAAAAAAATAAATTCTGATGACAGAATTGTGGACTATCTTGGTAAGGAAAAAAAAGAGCTATCTAAAGAAACTGAGGTACCTTTACAAGAGGCTCTAAGACGGAAAGAAGGGTACCTAACCAAGAGCAAGTATAAAACAAGTGGCATGGACCTGTAAGAACCATGTCAGGAAAGTCAAAGCTTCCTCTTCCTTCAGGATCTGATATCCTGGTTCTGTAGTCTATACCTGATAATTATGAAGAAGGCTGCTCCTGCTGCTCAGCGATATGCTCTGCTACCATGGGCCTAGGGCCAGGTCACTCATCCAGAGCTCTGCATTCCCTCCCTTAGGGGGAATGAGACACTAGGGGAGATGAGACATGTCTTCAAGGTATGAATGTGTAAAAGGGACAGGATATAGCTTGAAACAGATAATGGAATGCTAAGAGATGACAGAAAAATAGTAGACCTCTTACTTCTTTCTTTGTCCCAACTTCACGGTCAAGAAGAATTACTTCCTGACTGAAAAGTCTGAACAAACCCTGGTAGGAGGGAACTGAGAGGGGAAGGATATTGAAGGAGAACTTTACTATCTAGTCTCTATTCTATGTGCATATTTCTTATTTACCAAGTTAGATTTAAGAGCTGTTACTCACTGAATACTTGCTGAATAAACAGTAAACAAATGTATGTGTCCTCACATACAAGACCCAGATGATATGCTACTTCTTAGCAGACACTCTCGTTCCTCTTAAAATTCTAGGATTGAAGTATTCTTAGGCTGCAAACATTTTATACTATTGGAGGTTTAGGAAAAATCCACAAATCAAGGATAGAGAATGAAAACTGACAGATAATTAGCAATTTTTGGCCAAGAAAAAAATTACTTATTACTACTCTGAATTATGAACTAAAAAAAATCAGTTCAAAGGAGTCAGCATTAATAAACTTTTCTTCCTGTTAAAAGTTATATCAACCTCTTCAAAAACAAAGCAATTACACCCTATCATATGGATAAATAATGAAAGCTAAGAGTGAAAATACACAATGGAATCATAGCATACATACATTTAACTTACGCAAATTCAACTACACGTTCTTATAAATAAAGAGAAAAATAATTCTAAAATGTGGGTGATTTCATTATGAATTTTATATATACATAAAATATGTAATTACAGGGTAATTTTCACTATATGTAACTTAAAACGTGATCATTCTTTCAGCAGTACTTTCTCCTATTGTTGCTGACGTCAAAGCCAGATAACTGAAACAAATTTACAAACATGTTGCTAGATACAAACCTATAGATTTCAACATTCTTGTTCTTTTGTCTAGAGAGCTTAGAGGCACTTGCTTCTCCAGCCACAATTATAGTGTTGTTTTCCATGACAACACCAGTATACACATTTCCTAAACCCTCCCCATACTTGGGAGATGAGATGAAATAGGTCTTCTGTAATGCAGGATCATAACAAAAACTGGCATCCCCATAGTTCCTGTGTCTTGACCTGATTCCTGAAGAATTGTTGCCAATGCAAAGCAAAAGACTAGTAGTCTCCATGCCATAACGAAGATTTAGAGAGTGCTTTTGGGGTGTCTTGATGGCTTTGAATGCATTTTGAATTATGTCAATGCAACCTGCATCACATAGAAGCATTGTGTTCCTTTTTAGGGCTTGTCTTAAAAAAGAAGGATTTATAAGTTCCAATCTGACTTGCTTCAAAAGCTCAACAAGATGTTCTGTGCGCAGTTGTTGATTATGATTTACCCATTTCAGAACTAAGTCCAGAATGCTCTCCTCTCTGGATATGTTAAGGTCATCTGATTTAATTAGTGTCAGAAATTGGTGTACTTCAATTTCTAGTATTTCGTCATGTAAGCTCACCTCAGCAAAGTGCTGATATAAATATTTCTTCGACTTATCAGATAAATCTTCAGCTCCAATCTGCTTTGCAAAATAATAGATACCTACACAGTTCGAGGCATCCATATGGTCCATCATATATTTCTGACACACACTGAAGACTTCTTCCATCTGCATAAAATAGGCAGCCATAGCTACAGTTTGTACATTGGCATTACTGATCTCCAAAGCCGCATTGTACATGTAATTTAATATTACTGACACACTTTCTGCTGTGATGTCATAAAGTATGACTTCCCGTTGAGTACATTCAAGTAGTCCACAGGTGAACATAGCTTTGAAATAAGGACTAAATGCAGCCAGGACCAGTCTGTGGCAGGGAAATTTCTCCCCTTCTGCTATGAGTACTACGTCAATCATTTCTGCTAATTCTTTCATGTTCTTAATTTTATTCAGTAAATTCAAGCTATGTTGATATTTTTCTTTTGCCTCAATATTGCACTCCATGACACACTCTTCAATGTTTCAAAGTAAGTCTTTAAATTTAGCTTGATTCTTGAGGGGCTATTTGCATGTCTGATTACTCACAAAGCAACAGAGATGTAACATTCCTGAGGGGAAAAAAAAGAAGCAGTTTTCTTCTAAGAAAAAAATTCTATATAATTTAACTATGCAGCATTAGTTCTAAGAAGTATTTATAAATAAATATTATTCATTCCAAACAGAGTAGTTTAAGACCACTACTTTTGTATCTAAAAATAATGTCACTGATTGTATAAACAGTAAATTATTAACCACTAACAATATTTTCCTAATCAGCAGCAGAGATTTTTCTAGAAAGGCCAGAAAGTCCTCCCTCCCAAGATGAATGAATAGAGAAGTGATAAGATGGGCACATTTTGCAATTCCATTTCCAGTTACCAAATACAGCTGACCCACAGGCAGAGGGTACAGGATCATTAGGCACCATTCTTTCTGAAGAGATGCAACATCACCAAAAAGGTTATGTGCACCTCTCCAAAAAATGCACCCAAATGTTAGGCCAATCCACAAAATCACGACGGGTGCATGTAGGATGCATGAAGAAAAAAAGTCTATTAAAATTCTGCTCAAACTTTGCTATGGGGCAAATAATTCAAACAGTGCTTTGGAAAGCCCAACCAAATGTCTGCTGATCTGAGAATTCACAGTACTTGAAACTTACAACTAAAGCATTGTAAACTTAAAAAATGCACAAAAGCCATCCCATTTCTCTATCCTTCCTCCTTGCTCAGCTTCTCTTTGTTCCCTATTTCATAGTGGCAGAGACTGAATCACTTCTTGCCTTAAAAAGCAATAGTCTAATTAGAAGTCTTTTTAAGCTAGTTGTCACATCTTCCCCTTCCCCAGGGGAATGAACACAAGATGTTTCAAGGAAGTTAATTAGCTGTTTTGATTTAAAGGAGGACAGTCCTAGAGTCAGAAACCTTAATGTGAGAAGCAGATCTCAAGTTTCTGTCACCCTTTCTAGTTCTTACTTGGCTATAAGTTGCATACAATAATAATAAATGTTGATGGTAGAAAAGTCAGGACCAGGAGTTAAGAAAGGAGGGGAGGTGATAATTTCAACAAGGTGAAAGCAAAATTTGTCAGCTGTAAAGGTTATACATTTTCTAAATTTCTGTAATCCTGTAAAGGATTAGAAATCTCATGTTCTCAACGAAACATGGCACTTTTTTCAGTATTGAATTAAAGTTCATTTCAGGAAATAAGTGTTCAGCATGATAGGAATGTTTAATTATATAATGGCAACTATAAAAATCACTGCACAGAAGAGTGTGGAATTATAAAAACTAGTCAATCTTAGAATCTGAATACTTGAAATGGGAATAAAACCCTCCCTACCAGATTTCCTGGCATTAACGGTTCAGGGTTTTTGTTTTGTTTTTTTCCGGTGAGGAAGATTAGCCCTGAACTAAAATCTGTTGTCAATCCTCCTCTTTTTGCTGAGGAAGACTGGCCCTGGGCTAACATCCATGCTCATCTTCCTCTACTTTATATGCGGGATGCCTGCCACAGCATGGCTTGATAAGCAGTGTGTAGGTCCGCGCCCCGGATCCGAACCTGCGAACCCTGGGCTGCTGAAGTGGAGTGCACAAACTTAACCACTATGCCACCGGGCCAGCCCCTCAGTTTTATTTTAATAAAAGCTTAAGGCTTTGAGAGGGCTTGCAGGTTAAAAGTAAACCTTTTCTTTTTGCTTTTACTAGTTTTAGATTTTTACAAAGAGAATCCAATTATGGGCAATTAAGAGGTCATTATATATTCTGAACTCTCCTACAATACATTATGGTCAGACCAAATCATATTATGTATGCTTCTTTATACATAAACATATCAATCAACTTATAAATGACAGCTGTTACTTTGAACTGAAAAGCATAAAAGCCTTCTTATAAGGAAATAAATATTAAAAAATTCCTACTATTCAATTTGTACTGATATACAAGAATCCCTCAGAGGATACCAATACTCACAGTGCTAAAAGGCCAAGTGCAGCTTCCAGACAGGATAACTAGATCTAACACTCTGCAGGTAGTTCAGACTCATTAGTTCCTAAAGTGTTGATCATGATGTTGCCAGGACAGAAATGAGATGCTGGGGACCCAAATGTTATGACCACAACCTTAGGATTTCATACCTTTAAGGCAGAAACCAAACTACCCTTGTTGAGCTTTTTCACATAGGGCTATTTTAATAAAAACACAAGTGGCGTTAGTTTCAAAAAGAGATTAAAAATGGAATAACTAGTACATTATGTGCTTGTTTTCTTTATAATCACGTTATAGGTAGTATCTTATAAACAACGCTATAGTGGACAATGTTGCATTTCCCCTAGTATCCAACTGCCTTCTCTTAGTACCATTGGGGTGGGGTTGACTCCCATCCCCCTCACCACTGTGACTGGTTCAGGGATGGGTGTGAGACCTGAAACTAGCCTAATCAGAGCGAAGCTCAGGTCCCTGGTTCAGTGGTTGGGGTGTCCATAGATGGGAGGTCTGGAACTGTGGCAGCCATGTCCCCATAAGCTAGCATGAGGACAAAGCCAATACAGGGAAGAAGGCAGAAAATCCACAGCAATGGAGTTTGAAACATGCCTTATATCTATATTTTTCAGTTTTGAGAAATGAACCATCCCTTTATTATTTAAGCTAGTTTGAACTGGGATTGCTGTTCTTTGCACTGAAGAGTCCTTACTAGTATAAGTGGCATATGCAAAAATATTGAGAAAAGATTACCTATGGTAACCATAATTATATGTTATATAAAATTTTACTTTTGTTATACTCTTATATTTTCTATTATTACACTATCAGGGAAAAGAACCATAGAAACCTCTACTTATCCTCATTTCTCCTTGATAGAAGGCAACGATCACTAAGTCACTCTTCTGAGTTTACTTCTACTCATTTAATGGCCACAACATTTTATAGGTGCAGGAACTGAATGTTGAACCCAGTTCTGTCTGACTCCAAAGTCTGCACTCTTAACCTCTCCCTCTTGTGCAAGGGTCAGCAAACTAGGGCCAGAGAACACATACTGTAGGCTTGTAGGTCATATGGTCTCTTCTGTAACAACTCAACTCTGTCATTGTAGCACAAAAGCAGCCATAAATGAGCGTGACTGTGTGCCAATAAAACGTTTATGGAGGGGGCCAGCCCAGTGGCATAGTTGTTAAGTTCGTGCACTCTGCTTCGGAGGCCTGGGGTTCACAGGTTTGGATCCTGGGTGGGGACCTATGCACCGCTTATCAAGCCATGCTGTGGCAGGCCTCCCACGTGTAAAGTAGAGGAAGATGGGCATGCATGTTAGCCCAGGGCCAATCTTCCTCAGCAAAAAGAGGATTGGCAACAGATGTTAGCCTAGGGCTAATCTTCCTCACCAAAAACAAAACAAAACAAAAAAATGTTTTATGGATACTGAAACTTGAATTTCATATATTTTCACGTCATGAAATATTATTCTCTTTGGACTTTTAAAAGCCATTCAAAATTATAAAATTCATTCTTACCTCATAGGGTATCCAAAAAGAGGCAACAAGTCACTGACTCCTGCTCTACTGTTATAAATAAATCCACTTTCTAGATTATGAGTAGGACAATATCCTATGTGGGTGCCTGCTCCACTTCTCTGCTTAAATCCAGCTGAAGAATTTTGGGAAAGGGAAATGGTCAGATTCCTATTTAAAAAGATCATCTGGTTGTCTCCAGGGGTCACAAATATAAATCAATTTTTTGAATAAATACTTTATTTGGATGCAGCTTCTCTGCCCCAAACATTGACTTCAACAACAAAAAAATACTTTTAAAACAGAAATAACTGTTTCAAACATTGTGAAGAAACATTGACGAATTTTTTAAATGGGCACAGAGATTTTTTAAATATCCCTTCCTTCCAACGGCCTTTCCTACAACTCCTCAAAACTACTCTGATTGTTATAAAATCAGACCAAATGAACTGACTGATGGAAATTCTGAAAATAACCTGGGCAGTTAAATTAGCACCACACTTCAAAAAACATTCTCGGCATTGTTTCTTGTACGTGTAAGGTGTAGAGAAGAAATTGGCATTGCAGACAGGGCTTTAAAGTGAGATAGCCCTGGCTTTGAATTTCAGTTTAGCCTCTTGCTGTAATCTTGAGATTATTTAACCTTTCTAAACCTTGGTTTCTTTATCTGGAGAATGGGGATAATGTATATAATTAAAGTAGTCAGATTAGTCCTTGGCATCCAAGTGCTCAACAAATGGAAATTATTGTTAGTTTACAGTAATGTAGCATAGTGTAGCTCAGAGGCTAGAAATGTGGTCTTTGGCTTGAGTTACTGAGGCCTGGGTTTGAATCCTTGCTGTACCATCTAGTAACATGAGCAAGTTTCTTAGCCTCTTTCAGTTTTCTCACCTGGGATTAGTTTTGAGAATTATATAAGAATAGTTGGGAGAATTAAATAAGGCCATGCATATACAATATGTAATGTGCTTGGTAAAGGTGAAGCAGGATACACCTGTACAAATAATTTTCAAATAATAACAATGTTTGGGGACATAGACAAACTGCTTGTGGGTAGAGACACAGTTCATAAATAAAGAGAGCTGACAGCAACTTTTTCTTGTAATGAGGGCATAGGGGGCATTCTCCTTTTATCAGCAAAACAAAGCTGTATAAATGTCCTCAACCATAGCAATGGGAAGTTATTCTCTGCTCCAATTTATAGAAGACTGAACTGGTGCATTCATATTAATAGTCCCCGTAATAATGGAGAAAAAATGAGTAGCAAAGATAAATATAAATCACAAGAATAAAGCCTCATTACTTTGCAAATCAAAAATGCAATTATACTCCTATCCATTACACTTAGTTTTGAGAAATGGACTGCTATAGATTTTAATGTGGCATAAGAATGTTAATTTACTTAAACTGTTGGTTTTGCTTTTACAATATTTAATTTTATAATCTTTATATTATCTTTAAAGTTGCTACTTTTTTTTTTTTTGATGAGGAAGATTGTCCCTGAGCTAACATCTGTGCCAATCTTCCTCTATTTTGTACATGGGATGCCACCACAGC